CAAACTTCCTAATGTTCTCATAGCATGTTTAGTATAAGCCATTCAGGGACAGAGAATCCTTGACTGCCCCAAAGCCACCAGGAATGAAGATAGAACAAAATAATCTTTGAAAATACCAGTGATTCTATCATATTGGAAATAATACATAAGACTGTATAGAAAATGAATACAAGTATTGAATAGTTCATCTGAATTGCATTATGATTTAACTCATCATAGAACTTAAAATGATTCAGATTCATTTCAGTGACCTTAAGCCAAAACTGTAGCGTTGCCACAACAGTACTATAGATATACACATCTCCCCTGTTTTGTAGAAATATCACAAGTACCAAGAGGATACGGGAGGAGAAAACTTGCAACTGTCTGCAACAATAAATCAGGTATCTATTCTGGTGTAGAGATAGGATGTTGAAAGCTGCCCTGCTATCACCAGTGTAGGAATTAAGAGTAGTACAGTACTTGTACACTGAAATCTGCCATCGTGTGTTTGTGTAAACTCAATGTGCACATTTTGTATCTCAAAAGGAAAAATAAAAGCAAAATAAAGTGTTTATTACTCTACTGCATCTGCTATAGTCTTTATGTTCTAACAAGTTTTATAATCAATTACTAGATTCTAACTACACTGTCACTATCTTTGGGTAGTGCTACCTACAGAGAAAACTCAAAGCAAGACAGGGATTAGGCAGCTGCTGTAGCAGGCATGGTCTGAGAATGTGACAAGGTTCTATAGATCTAAGGAAAGAGAGGGACCAGGACCAGGAAGCAAAAGCCATGGTGGAGAATGGGCAGGTTACTCGGTAATTGCTTGTATTCTTTCAAATGACAGCTGTACAACTATTGAAACAAGAATTGCCCAGGGGCCAACCAGCAGTCTATGGGAGAGAACGAGAGGAGGGCATCATCTATCTAGTGTTTAGAAGGCATGTAGCTGCTGCTACAAAACACAGTGATGGCTTGTCCCCATGCTTTCCAATGCATGGTTATGATTTGGATTTGGTGTGGCGATCCATGTCTCTTCAGCCACTATTCCTGTTAGTCACACTGAAGGTCTGACTTCTATTTTTCCATTGCTCTTCCTCTATTCCTTCCTTCCTCTTGTAGAATCATCTAGAAGTTTCTAGCTCATCAGAAACTCTGGATGTATCCATAAATTATGTTTAAAAAAAAAACAAGTAACCAAAACACAGATAAGTACTACAATATCGTAGAATACATCTAAGTTTTAAGATTTTAATTTAATATCGCATATTGTACATCATAAGTATTTTCAGCCTATGAAATGTAAAAATAACATTTACTTAGAGCTTAGGTGGTTTTAACAAGTTGTAATAAACAATATACTTGTAATAGAATTTTCACATTTACAAGGTTTTTAAACTAGAATATTCAGGAAGGAAAAGAGGTTCCCAAGCATTCCACATTATAAAATACACATTTGCACATCCCATCTAATAGAGAAGTCACAAATGTTTACTTGCTATCTTAAATTCTTTCAGTCTTGATAAATATAAAAAAACAAGAAATGGCCAAAACCAACCTATAAAATAAGTGCACAGCTACAAAGTGATCTTCATAATGGCTATAAATAAAAATACATTGGAAAATATGCTCATAGATAAGATCCGTAAATTCACACAGATGATCAAGATGAGAAAGCCTCACAGCAGTCAACTTTTTCATGAGTACTTTAATTGCTTTCCATTAGCACCTGTGCTTTTTGTTGACAAACATCTTGCACAAGGAGTTCTCTGGACTGGACAGGGTCCTCAGGAGAGGCCCACTGAAGCCACCTTTGGGGTCTGAGAAAGCAGCATGGCTTTTGCTGGCTCCCTTATTCAACAGCAGATAGAGCAATATGTTGGGATTTTGGATTTGATGACAATAAGACTTGCCTGACAACAGAAGAAAAAACTGTCATTAGAACACAGTTACCACAGTAGGCATTACAGGTGTTGCTTAAGAAGTATCTAAGACTTAAACAAAAGTAATATCAAGGACACAATCAAATTCCAGGAGGAACAGAACATTGTTCTGAGGGAACTAAAACCCATAACAGCCTGTAAGTATCTAAGAAGCGTGGAAGAGTCAGGGCAGAATTTAAATGTGACCTCCCTGCACCCACTAGCACACTGGGGTAAATTACTTCTCTGCACCCAATATCCTGACTTAAAGGACAATACCAGCAAGTCTACCTTGCGGCTCATCCTGGAGACCAAATGAGTGTAGTGCTCATGGGGACTCAGCAGAGGACTTCGAACATGAGTGTTTTGTCTTCTTGTAGATCTCTGTACCACTTGCATGCCGGTGCCCAAGGAGGCCATTAAGAGAATGTAGTGTACCCTTGGAACTGGAGGGACAGCTGGATGTGAATCACCATGAAGGTGCAGAGAACTTGCTGCAAAAGCAACAAGTGCTCTTAACTGCTCACCCATCTCTCTAGACCCTAGTAAACTTTCTTTTACAATGACAGAAATTATTACTAAAATATAATATAGGGCACACAAGGAACAGTAAAGAAGACTGAGGAATATTTAAGATCCCTTGTAATCACAAATTCTTTTTCTTTTTAAATTCAGTATTAGCAATATTTAAAGCTAATAGGACTGAGTAATACCAAAAGGAGTCGTCTCTCTCTCTCTCTAGGACCTTGGGTTGGCTAACTACAAGCTATGCAGGCAAGTTCCAAGTAACAATGTCGGGCATCTGAAAGACATCTATATGGTAACTTCCCCAATTAAACACACAGACATCCACAAAAGTCAGATGACAGTCCTTTCCCTTTGCTTGATCCATTCCTAAAAAGGTCTCCTGGAAGCAGACAACCACTAGGGAGAGATACAGTCTAAAATTCACCATCTGTTCATTTGCATTCCACAAGGGAGGGAAAGGCAATACATCTGGGATTCAGATTCTGAGATGATCAAGTACATTTACAATAAGTATTTCATCAGAAATGGAGACACTGGTCTGGCTAGGGGCTAGTTCTGCACATGTCCTCAGTGTTTGAACATCAATTCCCTACCTAGAACTCAAACACAACAAAGAAGTACATTTTCTAACAGCCCTTTTCAGGCTTAGTTCCTCTGCATAACCTTTAAGTGTTAATCAGAAAAAATATATATGTATATTCAATTTAAAGATTATTAAAATTAGCAGAATTAGCTGATTAAGGCATGGCCAGCAAAACATTGTATACAATAATTTACATTTTCTTCTAATTATTTATAAAATCTGGACAATGAAATTTCTACATTGTTAGGCTGATTAGCTGAATACTTTTCAAATTATGAAAATGCAGTTAATTTTGCTGACATGTATTAATGAAGTCTCCATATTCCTCCCCTTGAAAAGTTGGAGGAAAAAAATCAGATCAACTTTTGAAGAATGTGTATGTGCTGCACCAATATGGAAGTGGCATTTCTATGCACAGGGAGATTCTAAAAGTCAGAGGAAGAAAACAAGACAGTTTTCTTCCATTACTATGTGCAGAGAGCTCAGGTGCTTCCTGAGCTCACATATAAACCTGCGATTCATCCCTAATATAGGCATGTACAGAAGTAAATAAATATACAATTTTTAAGAAGCATTTTTGGGGATTGGGCTAAGTCATGCTTTGACCTTCTCATGGGCCAACACAAAACATGTATAATAGATTAAGGAGAAAAACTAAGAATACACTTCCAAGACCTCCAAAGAAGAACACAGGCCTTTATTTACCCAGCCTGCTTCTGTAAAGGCCATCTTAGAAACTATACCACCCCAACAAAGCAGAAATTCTTAGTTTGGAAGAAGAAAAACCAACATTTTCACAGCTTCCCTTGCAGCTGTAATAAGTTAACATGCTAACCACATACTGATTCTCCAAATAGGACTGAAAGCACAATGAACAGAAACAACCCATGGTTACAGGTGCAGCATCTACTCACACTCCCGCCATGCTGCTCCAACTTTTGCAAGGCACTGGTGATGGGTTCTTTGAATTTTTTGTCCATTAGCCTCTTGGAAAGCTATTAAAGATTGGGGAGAGGGGAATTCCAAAATAAATAAATAATGTTTGCCATAACCACAAATAACTTTTGAGAATGTTTTAATTTAAGAATACAAAGTTTGTTTCAGTAAATGTTTCACTAAAACTTACAACTAAATGTCAACTTTTAACATTTAGTTAAAAGTTGAATTTATGACATTTCAAACACTACCTATCCTACAATATCTGCTATAATAATATGTTTTCTGGGGCTGGGGAAATGAATGACTTCAATTTCCAAGACCTACATAAAAAGTTGGGCATGATGGCTTATGTTTATAATTCCAGCACTGGGGAGGCAGAAAACAAGACATTCCTTGGGATTTACTGCCAGGAAAATGTAGCCTAGTTGGTAAGCTCCAGGTAAATGAGAGACCCACCTTCAAGGAAGTGGACAATATTTCTGAAGACAACACCTGAGATGGTTCTCCACATTCCACATGTATGCATATAAGCACACATAGAGATACACACATGTACTCACACACACAAAAAAATAAGTTTTCAAAAGCAAGGCATACTTTCCCATTTTGATACATGCAAGACCATGCAGAGAACTGACAGAAAGCCACACCTCTATCTAAAACAATAAAAGGGGAATAGTTAAAAACTAACAGTAACTGATAGAGAAATCAGATGAGAAACCACAAGACCACTTATCTCTGGATACATCCTAAATAGACCCTGACTAGAAACAAAAAATTTTGTTTAAAAAGGAGAACATGCATGCAGGAAGACAGCATCATAGGCACTAGCAGAGAAGGAGTGCTATGAAAGTACCTGGGAACAACTGTACCAGTCTTCCCATAAATGCATGCATTTCCTCAGACAATGACCTAGACATTTCAGCTAAAATAAGCCATGCTCTCAGGTAAAAATTTTGGAAGCATATTCAACATAGGTTGAAAAGAATGATACTGAGAACTTTATATTATAAACCTAAAGTCAGCTTTGTAAGCTTAGAACATATTAGAGAATATTTCTAACTTCCATCAGAAAATATTAGAGAAACTGTCTACTACTAAGTTATTCTGTGACCTACGTAGTCTAATCTGCACTTGTTGGTTAGGATAAAAATTAACACTGGCTGCCAAAGTGACTGGATAGAGAAATGTTCAGGTAAATAAAACAAGCCTTTAGTTTGTCTTCAGTGGAGGCTTTTTGCAGATAGAGTAAGTTCACAAGGCTCTAGCCAAGGAATGGACTTATTTTTGTTGGGTTCTTCCTGTGATGGTGTTATTGAGACAAGGCAAGGAGGTGGGGCTTAGCTGGAGAGAAAGGGTACTGAACCCTGAGCCCTTCCTACATGCCCACCCATGTTTCATGCCCACTATGAACTCACATGTTCCATGCTACCACATCCTTCCTGCCATGAAGAGCTGACACCTGTGAAACTTCGACAGCAAACAAACCTTTCCTACAGTTGGGTTGTTTCTGCCAGGTGTGTTATTGCAATGACAAGAAAGGTCTCTTTAAGAATGTGAGCTAGGCTAGTGGTTGACTTGAAGACTGAAGTTAGGAGGACATATGCACAGCTACTCTACTCTCCGCAGTACTCACACTTGTAAGCAGAAGTTTCAGATGGCCGTTCAGAGATGGGCCAACGACCACACTTAATTGTACCAGTGCACTTAGTCCTCTTTCAAAGACTTCATCATCAGAATGGACCTGTGGGGCCAGGAAACAGGAAGAATTAAAAACAACACAACCCTTTGAGAGAGACTCTGGGTGCTTTCATTTGGAACTTTTCCATGGTCCTTTGTCTATAATGTTACTTTCAGAACAGATTTTCCAATGGAATTGGTGCACTTACATATGAATGAGACTTGATCATTTGTCTCAAGAGGAAAAAAAAA